GCGATTATTAGATACTTGGTGTGAAATTACACGGCAATCCTACGAACTGAAGTGTATTTTTCAGTTCTTACAAATAATCTAAAATAGAAAATTACAATTGAAGTGAAAAAAAAAATTACAACTAAATAACGGAAAGATTTTAGCCGAGGCGAGTAAACTCTTTCCGTAAGAAGAATACACACCGTGTGTTGCTAACGGTTCAGGCGTACTTCCCCAAAATACAACGGCAAACGTCTCTAAACTGTAGCACACTAGATTTACGAGCTCCGACGAACGGGAACGGACTCGAGAATTGAGCACTTAAAAATAAAAGGAATATTTTGAAACAAATAAAAATATCACTTGTTTCTTCTCTTTTGATATTTTTATATCCGATATTTGGACATATATCTTTCTTTTATTTCATTTCTCTTTCTTTCTTCTCTCTTTCTTTCTTATTTTGGTTCATCTTTCTTCAATCTGGCCGAGGCCTTTTTATAGGGGAGGATTACCTCTTCAATTGAAATAAAAAATATTTTTTTAATACAATTTGATGATCAGTTGGGGTTGCAAGTGGGAAGTGTGGATACATGTGGGAAGTGCATCTTTGCCAGAGGGATGCATGTGGGCAAGTGCCTTTATTTTAACTTTTCCTAACATTATATATATGTTGGTCAGCAATGTGGTGTCTCAGGAATGTTAGGGAGTTTAGATTGCATGCATTGGAGGTGGAAAAATTGTCTTACAGTGTGGGCTGGGCAATATATTGGTCGTGGTAGAAAGCCTACAATCATTGTTGAAGTCGTAGAAGATTATGATCTATGGATATGGCATGCTTATTTTGGTTTGTTAGGCTCCAACAACGATATCAACGTTCTAGAAGCATCTCATCTTTTCTCGAATCTAACCCAAGGTATTGCTCCTCCAGCTAATTATATTCTTCAAAGAGAAGAACACAACATGAGTTATTATTTAGCTTACAACATATATCCAAAATGATTTATCATTGTGAAAATAATTCATGATCCACGTGGTCCGAAGAAAAAATATTTTGCTATGTAAGTAAGCCTAAAAGACATTGAATGTGCATTTGGAGTTCTTCAATCACGTTTTGGTATTGTACCAGGACCACTACTGATAAGTCGAAAATACGCGCTACTTTTGCAATGTAATTGAGAGGATGTGTTGGATATTTATGCTTAACTAATTTATTTTCGACCTTATCTTATAATTTCGATTGGAAACTACCATTGTTGGGATTTTGTGTGCAGTGATCGTTATAACCAACATGGCAGCAGTAGAATTTTGATGGACATGGCAATGTTGGCCTTCTAAGGAACAGACTACTACTACCTGTGCTGCGATTTATTTTGGAAGTGGGCCTATTATTGTTAGGCCCATTATTGCTACTAAAGGACAACAGTAATAGAAGCAGGAGAGATGAGTTTTTGGAGACCTAGACTACACAGCACATAAGAGTCGCAAGAGAGCAGACAGAAAGGGAGGAACAAGCAGCAACTTCAAGTTCTTATTTTCTTTTTCTCTAGACTTTTGGATATTCTTTTGTTGGACTTTATGGAAGCCCTGCGCGGCTAATTTTCTTTTGCTTCGGTTGAATACGATTGAAACCCCGAACTTGATACTATGAGATCTAATTAGTTTTTATCTATTAATTCATATTTCGTATTAATTGTTTTGTGTGTTCATATTTATGATTTTGTGTTAGGATCGTGGCCTGATCAACTATTGTCTTATGCACTTAATCTATAGCTTGGTAGATATTGAGTTGGATATAGATGATTTATTTATCGTAAGAAGCAACTGAGTGCGGTAATTGACTGGATTTAGGCGTTATCATTCTTAGGCAAAATAATTATACAAGTTAGCATTTAACGGATTAGTTATTTGTTGCTTGTGTTGTCGGGCTCTACTTCTTAATGCTATTGCTAGGATAATTTTGCACGATGTTGGGAATTGCCTAGTAATAAGGGTTGTGTAGGAGGATTTATTTTGCATGTCCAATTTAGGAGTCAGAATTCATCATTCAACGGCATTACGTATTTATGAATTGATAATATTTGCATCAAGGATCAGTAGAATAATTCGGGGTGGAAATCAATTCAACCAGAGCACTTTACCTATATATTCATCTTCACCTTGTTGTTACTTTTGAGTCTTTTATTTAATAATCTTTTACCAATACCTTCTTAATTTTCTTGTTAATTAGATAATTAGGATTATAAATCAATTCTCCCCCATATTAATCACATAGTTACAATCATTTAATTAAATTATTCCCCGTGGATACGATCCTTGCTCGCACTACTGCATATTTTTAAGCAAGGTTAATTTGGGTGCCTACGACAGCACGACCAAATTTTGGCACCGTTGCCGGGGAATTATTTTAATTGAATCTTTGATTGTGTGATATTATTGTTATTATTATTATTATTTTATTTTTATTTATTATTGTTTCTCTTGTCTTTTCTTTGCTATCTTTTACTTCTCTAACAGCTTGGTTAGTTTGATTTATATTTTCTTGGCAGTTGATGATCGGGACGCGTTCCAGTGTTTCCAAAGATATTCAATTTGATCCAGAAATTAAGAAAACAGCTAAGAGATTGAGAAAACAAGCAAGGAGGAGGGCAACCCTTATAGACATCGAAGAGGGGACACTTACCAGCTTGTTCGAGATTAACAGTGATTCGGGAGAAGACTTGAAAGAAAGGGACTTGAACGTGGTCCAGATGGCGAATGCGAATAGAACATTAAAGGAGCTGGCAGCTCCTAATTTAGATATTCAGCCTATTTGCATTACTTTTCTTGCTATAGATGATAACATTACCTTTGAATTGAAATCTGGGCTAATCCATTATTTACCTTCATTTTATGGTCATGCAGGCGAGGATCCATACAAGCACTTGAAGGAGCTTCACTTGGTTTGCACGAGCATGAAACCAACAGGTATTACAGAAGAACAAATCAAGTTGCGAGCCTTCCCTTTTTCATTGAAGGATGCGGCTAAGGATTGGCTTTACTACCTTCCGTCGGGCTCAATTGAAACATGGGAGGTAATGGAACGACTTTTCCTGTAGAGATACTTCCAACATCCCGAGCTGCCAACATACGTAAGGAGATATGCAGGGTGCGACAATTACATGGGGAGAACTTGTACGAGTATTGGGAGCGTTTCAAGAAATTGTGCGCAAGCTTCCCGCAACATCAAATTAGCGAGCAACTACTGATCCAATATTTCTATGAGGGCCTGGCATTGATGGATAAGAACATGGTTGATGCTGCAAGTGGTGGAGCTCTTGTTGATAAGACACCGGCCGAAGCAAGTCGTATAATTGCTACCATGGCGGTAAACTCACAACAATTTGGCACCCGTAACGATGTGACACTTAAAGCGGGGACAGGAGCAAATAACTCTGTTGTAGAGGAAAAGCTTATGGAACTGACAACTTTGGTGAAACAATTATCGGTTGGAGGAATGAAGCCTGTGAAGCCTTGTCAATTATGTGCCACCACCGATCATGATACCGATTCTTGTCCCGTGATAGAGAATGAAATCGAGGCACATGCGAATGCAGTCGGTTGAGATGGGAACTTTCCCAGGAAGCAGCAATATGATCCATTCTCAAGTACATATAATCCCGGTTGGTGCGATCACCCAAATTTGAGGTACGGGCATTCATTTTACCAGCAGCCCGGCCCGAACCATGGTGGGAGTTTTCAGCAACGTCCCACTCAATTATTTTGCAGACAAGCACCACCCGAGCAGCCCCAAGCACTGATTCTGGCACTTCTGTTGAGGATATCGTGAAGAGACTAGCCTCCAGTACTTTACAATTTCAAAGGAAACCAAAGTTAGCATGCAGACCCTTGAAACTCAAGTAAGTCAGCTCGCAACTTCTGTGAACCGTTTGGAGGCACAAGCTAGTGGAAAGCTCCCATCTCAACCTGAGGTGACCCCTAAGAATGTGAGTGCCATGATCTTACGAAGTGGCAAAGAGTTGGAGCAGATAAATGAGAAATCTCACGAGCAGCAATTAGAAGCAGCAGGTTCAGGCAACCAACGTGGCCATGTCACTGACCATGTTCATAGTAAAGCTGAACAGGAGACAGAAACTGAACTGGGAACTGAAGAGAGGAGTAAGAAGGTCAAAAATCCGACCTATCCTGAGTATAAGCCTGAACCACCGTTCCCACAGGCACTGGTTCGACATGAGAAAGACGGGCCTATCCGAGATATTTACGAGACGTTTCGGAGATGCGAGGTGAACATCCCGTTGCTAGATGCCATCAAGCAAGTGCCCCGCTACGCAAAATTTTTGAAGGAGTCGTGTACTGTCAAGCGCAAACAGCAACTCAAACGCCATGAGAAAGTTAAGGTAAGTGAGAATGTCTCCGCTGTTTTACAACGGAAACTCCCCACGAAATGCAAGGACCCCGGTATGTTCTCAATTCCTTGTGTCATTGGTGGAACTCATTTTGAAAGAGCTATGTTGGACTTGGGAGCTTCTATTAATGTAATGCCATATGCGATTTATAGTTCTTTGAAGCTCCGACCCTTAAGTCCCACAGGAGTTATCATTCAATTGGCGGACAGGTCCAATGCGTTTCCGAAGGGTTTGGTTGAGGACGTGCTTGTTCAAGTTAAAGACTTGGTTTTTCCAGCGGATTTTTATGTTCTTGATATGGAGAATAACAATGTTTCTACTCCTATTTTACTTGGAAGACCTTTTCTAAAAACGTCTAAAACCATGATTGATGTGCATAATGGAATTCTTACCATGGAATTTGATGATCAATTAATTAAATTTAATATATACAATTCCATGAAATATCCTGGTGATGATGAATTCGTATTATCTGTTGACTTGGTTGATGAATTGGCTCAGGAAATATTTTCACTTTCGGAGGACAAGTCTTTGGGGGACACCGTGAGCAATTTGGTAGACAACTCACTACCTATCATTTCTCCAGGACAAGCCAATGAATTGGACAATCATGGTATCATGGATGACGGCTTAGAGACCAATGGTAAAGGTGAGTCTATCGGTATTAGTTCTTTCGATACTAACGAAAAATCTCCACCCTCCATTTTGCAGACACCTGTTAAAGAACTGAAGCCTTTAACTGACCATGTCAAGTATGTGTTCTTGGGAGAGGGAAACACACTTCCAGTGATTATTTCGAGCAAGCTTACTAGAACTCAAGAAGACGAGCTCGTGAAAGTTCTCCAGTCTCACAAGCAAGCATTGGGTTGGACCATCTCGGACATAAAGGGAATAAGTCCCTCAATTTGCACGCATCGCATTTTACTAGAAACGGGAGCTTAACCTGTTCGTCAACCCCAACGCCGCTTGAATCCGGTGGTGTTGGAAGTCGTGAAAGCTGAGGTCCTGAAGCTTCTGGACGTAGGGATTATCTATGCGATTTCAGACAGTGGTTGGGTTAGCCCAACTCAAGTGGTGCTGAAAAAGACCGGGATAACTGTGGTGCGAAATAAAAATGACGAGCTTATTCCCACTCGTGTTCAGAACGGGTGGAGGGTTTGTATAGATTATAGAAAATTAAATTCTGTAACCTGCAAATATCATTTCCCTTTACCCTTTATTGATCAAATGCTTGAACGATTAGCCGGTCATACTTATTTTTGTTTTCTTGATGGATACTCAGGTTACTTTTAAATTGCGATCGCACCCGAGGATCAGGAGAAGACCACTTTCACCTGTCCGTTCGGCACTTATGCATATCGTCGCATGCTGTTCGGTTTGTGTAATGCGCCTGCTACATTCCAAAGGTGCATGATGAGTACTTTCTCTGATTATATTGAAAAATGCATTGAGGTATTCATGGATGATTTTACGGTGTATGGTGACACATTTGAGAGCTGTCTGCATAATTTGTCCCTTATTCTCCAAAGATGCATTGATACTAATCTGGTGCTAAATTCTGAAAAATGTCATTTTATGGTTGAACATGGGATAGTGTTAGGACATGTGATTTCTGCAAAAAGGATAGAGGTTGATAAGTCAAAAATTGATGTTATTGATTCATTACCTTATCCCACTTGTGTTCGGGAGATCCGCTCTTTTTTGGGTCATGCAGATTTCTACCGTAGATTCATCAAGAATTTTTCCAAGATTGCACACCCTCTTTGCCAATTGTTGCAGAAGGACGTGAGTTTCGAGTTCAACGAAGAATGTAAGCAGGCATTTGACACTTTAAAGTCAGCACTAGTGACAACACCTATCGTTCAGCCCCCGATTTGGACTCATCCATTTGAGCTCATGTGCGACGCTAACACATATGCGATGGGTGCGGTATTGAGCCAGAGACTTGGAAAGGCATCCCATGTCATATGTTATGCTTCCAGTACATTGAACGAGGCTCAACGGAATTATTCTACAACGGAAAAAGAACTCTTAGCAATTGTTTTTGCTTTGGAGAAATTTCGTTCTTATTTACTTGGCTCTAAAATTATCGTTTTTACTGACCATGCAGCTCTTCGATACTTGATGGCGAAGAAAGAGTCCAAGCCTCGTTTAATTAGATGGGTGCTACTTTTGAGTGAATTCGATTTAGAGGTAATGGACCGAAAAGGAACAGAGAATTGTGTGGCAGACCGTTTGAGCCGCTTAACCCATGTGACGGACACAAGCCAAATACAAGAGGAATTCCCTCACGAGCACCTCTTTGCAGCATCTGTTGGTATGCCATGGTATGCAAATATCGTGAATTATTTGGTTACTAACAATTTTCCTCCTGATTTTTCAAAGGCACAGAGAGATAAGCTTAGAAGCGATGCCAAGTACTACGTGTGGGACGAGCCCTACTTATGGAAGTTTTGTGGTGATCAAGTGATAAGGCGGTGCCTGCCCGACCACGAAATATCCTCGGTTCTGACATTTTTCCATACTTATGCATGTGGTGGTCATTTTGGTGCTAAGAGAACAACAATGAAGGTGCTCGAAAGTGGGTTGTTCTGGCCAACATTATTCCGTGATGCATATACATTTTGTAAGTCATGTGATCATTGCCAGAAGACAGGTAATATTTCTCGAAAGAATGAGATGCCTCAAAATCCTATTTTATTTTGTGAGATTTTCGATGTTTGGGGTATCGATTTTATGGGCCCATTTCCGGTTTCTTTTGGCTTTATTTATATCTTACTTGCCGTCGATTATGTGTCGAAGTGGGTCGAAGCTAAACCCACTAGGACTGACGATTCTAAAGTGGTTTCAGATTTTCTTAAGTCCAATATATTTGCACAGTTTGGATTCCCCAGGGCTTTGATTAGCGATCGTGGAACGCATTTTTGCAATAGGACTGTGGAGGCACTGCTGAAGAAGTACCAGGTCACTCACAAGGTTTCAACCGCATATCACCCTCAAACCAATGGACAGGCCGAGGTATCGAACAAAGAGATTAAGTCCATTCTCGAGAAGACGGTGAATCCGAGTTGGAAGGATTTGAGCTGATGTTTGGATGATGCACTCTGGGCTTATAGGACTGCTTATAAAACGCCTATAGGGATGTCGCCGTATCGGATCATATTTGGAAAGCCATGTCACCTTCCAGTCGAACTCGAACATCGAGCGTATTGGGCAATCAAGAAGTTTAACCTGGACATGAATGCAAGTGGTGAGCATAGAAAGTTGCAAATTCAGGAGCTAGAAGAGATGAGAAATGACGCTTATGAGAGCACCAAGATCTACAAAGAGAAGACGAAGGCTTTCCATGATAAGATGATTTCGAGAAAGCAATTCGTAGTTGGGGAAAAAGTTCTCTTATACCAGTCCCGTCTTCGATTGTTCCCAGGAAAGCTACGAACAAGATGGGAAGGACCTTTTGAAGTCACCAAGGTCTGTACTCATGGGGCTGTTGAGATTCGGAGTCCGTCGAGCTTGAAGTCTTTCATAGTCAACGGACATCGACTTAAGCCATATCACGAGAACTTCCAACCTGAGCATGAAGAAAGAGAGGGCCTCGAGGACCCCATTTATTCTGAATAAATCGAGAGCTTCATGTCGAGCCAACGACGATAAAAAAAAAAGGCGCTTTTGGGAGGCACCCAAATTTTATTGCTTTATTCTAGATTATTATTAGTATTATTATTTTTTTATTTTGTTATTTCTCTAGTTTGTTTAGGACTTGAAGTGATTTAAGGTAGATACCACGTACACGTTATATGGTAGTTTTTAAGCCGTGCCCATGCCTTAAAATAATTTGTTTCTGCTGTTGCTGATACTTTTCTGTTCTCTGTGCAGACTTTTGCTTGAACATTGGGACTAATGGTGTTGGTTTTTATTTGACATGGCCATGTCAAAGGGGAGAGGAATAAAAAATAAAAAAAAAAACGAAAAAGGAGAGAAATACGAAAAGGCAGCAGAGGATAAAAGGTGATATAGCCAAAGCCCTAAGGGGTTGTTTGGTTGGGGGAAAAAGGAAGGGAGGGGAGGGGAGGGGAGGACATTTTTTACTTTCTCCTTGTTTGGTTGGGAATTTGGGGTAGGAGGGGAAGGAAAATTTTAAGTTAAAATTCCCTCCCCTTCCCATTTTTGCTCCCCTTTAAAAGTGGGGGAATTTGGAGGGGAGGGAAAATTTTAATACATTATATTACAATATTACCCTTATTACATAATATGTAAGTTTTTATTTGTAACATCATTAAGGATATATTTGTCATTTTAATATTATTTTCCCTCCCCTTTCATTTTCTTACCAAACAAGGTTTACTATTTTCCTTCCCCTCCTCTACTACAAAATCCCTCCAAACAAGGTAAAATTACTTTACATCACCTTCCCTCCCCTCCCCTTCCTTCTATTAAAATCCCTCCCCTCCCCTCCCCTCAGTTGAACCAAACATAGCCTAATTCTTATCTTTACCGTTACAGACTTTCTGTTCTCTCAAGAAATTTCAACCCGCTCCTCGCCTTTTCCACACGGTGAGAAAAATTCACCAGAGCAACACCAAATTTTCACCGTCCTCTTTCAATTACCACAAGTGAGACCGACATCATGGTACGGACAAGAGCAAGATCAAGAATTTCACCGCCACCACAACTGGAGCCCGAACCACAGCTAGAGCCCGAACCTCGGGAGGAACCTGGTCGGCGAAGAGGGCCTAGTGAACTACAAGGTGAGTCTCATTCTTTATCTGAAGAGAATAGCGGTCAGGGGCAACACACTCGTTTTCAAGGGTTGTCAAAGAGAAAAATCAGACCTAGTGTTTATATGGATGATGGGATCCTCCGTCGATTGGGGATGTTGGAAGATGTGATGAGTTTATTCGATACCCAAGGATGGTCCAAGTTCATGACGGGGTGTTTCCCGACTTATCCTGAGTTGACACTCGAATTTTTAAGTTCTCTGCATGTCAAGTTCAATGACAGTAAAGCCGGTGGGGTGATTCGGTTTCATTTGGGAAGAAAGGAGTACAATTGGAGCCTGACACAAGTTGATCGGGTTTTGGGGTTTGTGTCTGGGGGTCTACGAGGAATGCCGGAAGGGTTTAATCATACAGATTTTTGGCATAGTATTACAGTGGAAAATGACCCCTATCAGGCGAGCAGTGCGAAAGCTACCTCGATTCGCAACCCGACACTTCGTTATGTACAGCGGGTGATGACTGGGACCATCTTTGCTCGACAGGAGAGTCACAATGTAGTGCGCCAGATGGAGCTAGAGTTCTTGTGGGCTATGCTCAATCGACAAAAGTTAAGTACAAGCTATTACCTGATGAGTCATCTGGCCGGAGTCCAAGAGCGAAATAGAGGTGCTATTGTGGTAGGGGGGATCGTGACTGCTATCGCGAAGGCATGTGGTGTAAACTTTGACGACTATGCCGTTCTTAATGAGAACCCAAAGGTTGATGAAGCAACACTGGACCACATGGGAGTTCTTTACCGAGATGGTACTGCCTACTCTTGGGGCGTCACTCCCAAGGTTCATTATCCCTTGCCATCGCCACAGCTTACCACACCATGGCGTCCCGAGAATTTGAAGATGCTTTATTCACCATTCACCTCAGGTAGGATCACTCCTAGTACTGGTACTAGGAATCTGAAGAGACGCGCACGTCACGATGGAATGAGGATTTGAGATCGATTGTGGTGGAGATGCGGGGTTGATATTCGAGAGCTCCTGCTCCTGATGCGTGCAAGGCAACCGCCTCCACAATGATGAATCTCTGTGAGTATTCTTCTGTTCTCTAGTCTTTCATTTGGAATATGCTTGCAGTTGTTTTTGATGGGGCGTTGTTTATGTGATATGATAGTGTATTGTGCATAATATATTATTTCGCTTGTGATTGTTATCGATTCATTTATGCCAA